GCAGCTGTGACTGGCATCCTCAGAGGTATAACACAGAAAGACTGAGTACTCTCGATGTCAAGGTGAGAAGAAAAATGGTAGGCAGGTAATTTATATCTACTCAGGAAGGTGGGGTAGGGCTGCGTCATTATCTTGTAGGAGTTCCCCAGGCTGTGACATGCTAACGGAGGAGCTTTCCTGAGGAGGTTCTTTTGCATATGGATTGGCTGTTGAAATTCGAATCTTATCTGTAGTGCTGTTGTAAGATGTAGAGCGTTATCCAGGGCAGGAAATCATGCCCTATTTATCCTTAAACTCTCTTCTTTCCCGTTGAAGTTGTGCTTATGTTTATGAATTTCAGTGGCTTCCCTGTGTAATCTGACATGGGAATTGGATGTGTTGTCCAGCCTTTCAGTTTCTTGGAATAAGATACTGTGTCCTGTTTGAGTTAGGCTATGTTCACAGTTCATTGAGTTAGGCTGAACATAGCAAGACTCTTTGGGGATAGGTGGATGGGTGGGGCGAGAAGGGTGGGCACCATGTGGGCTCTGGCTCCTGTCAAGAAGTCAGGTCCCGCTTCTGGGCCCAGGGGATTGGGAGAGTTTGGGGAGGCCCCTCTCCCGGGAAACCCTCTAAGAGGCAGGCCAGGGAGGAGCTGAGGAGGACGAGCCAGGCCATTCCTCAATTCGTAGGGGAGAGAACAGTGACAGTTGGAAGAGGTGGAACTGGGCGCGAAATAGCCCCCCTCTTGCTGGCAACTGAGGCTCTTCGAAAGCCTTGTGAGGAAAAAAGGGACACTGAAGAATCAGACAGTAATGTTTCCCGCACCGTCTCCTCGGAATATCTTGGTGGATTGCTGTGAAGTCTCGGAGCAGTCGCGAAGGAACTGAGGAATGTGGTTTCACTTTACCATTCAGATCATACATTCATTTCTTGGGAGAAGTGGGTCTCAGAAGATCCTTTCGGCCTTCGTCAGTCCAAACCAGCACCTTGAATCCGCCTAGAAGATAAAACTGAGCCAGTTGTTGCCAGGGATAAGGAGGCCTGGATCCTTTCCTCCTGTGGTGATGAAATCGGCCTTTTGAAAAGAGTGCATGACTTTACGGCTACAGCTTCCCCGATCGTTGCCAAATTCCTCCTCGTGACCTCTGTCTGACTTCCATAACCATCCTGCCAGGCCAAAACTAATTACCATTGCGGTATGAGCAGAGGCTGAAAATATGAGCGGTTTTGTCAGGGTCATCAAAGAGGCAGGAATAGAAATGGAGCATTCAGCTGCAGTCTTAAGAAGATTTTCACTAAACTGAAGCACGGCTTTTGGAGGAATATTTTGAACAGTCCTTACACATATAATATAGTTTTGAGTCAAACATTTATATTACTTTTCTTTTTCAGTTTATAATAATCTAAATGAAATGAAGATTTGTTGTAACTAAGCTAGTGAGGATCTCCTTTCTTGGGTTTTTAGTTAGTAGTGGGTTCTTTGCTTTATCCTGTATATGTAGTCCCCCTTCCCTTTTTTTCTGTAGTAGTTTTGTAGTCTTACAAAAAATAATAAAAAATCCCCTCCGGGGGCTCAAAAACAAACAAACATATAATATAGTTTTTAAAGTGACCTGTTGTGTTCTCTGACATACAAAATTTTATTTCTGCTTTTACCTCTTAACCCACCCTCCCCCCAAAGGTACACATTCTTTTTTACAGGATCTGGTTGAGGTGGGAGGCAGAAACAGAAAGGAGAAAGTTGCTAAATGTGCCCAACCCTGCTGAAAAGTCCATCAGCTTGTATTCCTGTGAAACAGAGGACAAAATCGATGCACCAGGAATCGGCGTTATTTTATAATCAAAAAGCCAAACGGTCTCAGAATTCAGAGCTAGAGATCGACAGAGAGCCCATATAAACAAAGCACACTTGCATAACTGCACATATATTATGGGTAATGGACACGCTGGTCAATCTACAAGGTCTCTGCAGTCCTGAACACTAGCTGTTGCCTTTATTAGGAAGTGGCATGCATGAGACCTCACAGTAAGACATGGGGGAATTTCACATTATCCAGTTTCACCTGGTTTCAAGCCGGTAATGATCCGTTTTGAAGTGAACCGGTATAGGGCTGCCATTTCACACATGGCTTTCCCCTTCCGGTAAAGAGCTGGATCTGAACTGGTTTGCCATTTCAGACTGCACCACTTTTTCCCGCTTTCCCCCCGCCGTTTTTCGCCCCTGCGGGCAATCTCCCCAGCTTTTTTTTAAAAAAATGTTCGCTTTAGAGCGCTATAGTGCTATAGCAGTATAACAAAACACTCCATGCATTCCAATGAGATTGATATAATGCCATTCCGTTATAACGCTATAACGCTATAAAGCAATCGTTTTTTTAAAAAGCCGGAGATCGCCCGCGCAGGTGAAAAACGGCGGGGAAAAGCGCATTGGAACCGGGAGAGGAAACGGAGGAGTACTTGGAAGCGGTTGACAGGTAAAACGCTTCAGCCCCGTTTCCTAAACGGAACAGAAGCGATTGTGTATGAAATTACAAATATATTCCAGAAGGGAACTGGTTCTCAAACAGTTCTGTCTGAAATGACAGACCAGAAACTGTTTGGGAACCGTTCCTCTTCTGGAATATATCGCCTGTCTGAATTTCCTCATGAATACACGCAGGAGCGTTCTGTGTGTTTGTTTTAGCAAACTGGCATAAAACTTTGCATGGTTCACACGAATTCCTGGTATCCGCTCAGCTCTCCCCATTTCCCTTTCTTTAAGGCCACCTCTGTGAAACTCTAGTCACATAAAAATCTTTGCCTGCTCTTCTCTTTGCCGACTGGTTCTTCTGCGCCTCCAATGTACCTTAACATGGAGATACTATTTTCTTTTGAAAAGAGCCATATGAGGTTCCCGTACTGTGCTGCATTTGGCGCTAGAGCTGCTGGAGCAGACCGCTGCCCATCCACCATCTGACTGCCCTGCTAAAGCAAGTGGAAAGGGCTGGCTGGGGAGGGGAGGGGAGGATGTGGAGCTTGTTATTTAGAAAGACGCACCAGATCAGAGTTTTGTTCAGAGTTTCAGGGGTGCCTGATCTTACAGTGCGTGAATGGGAATGTCCCGCGTCTCCTCTCTGACCGTTGATTTCATTCTGTTTTGCTTTTGTTTGTTCCTCTCGGGCTTCTCCGTCCTTTGGAACGGCCACGTGCCATTTGAAAAGGACAGAGTTCTTCAGTGTCTGTCTCAATAGGGACATGGAGGGGGAAGATCTTTGGGCCTCTTTAGGGCGAATTCTCCCCAGACCAAGGGAGCCCTAATTGGGATCATGTGCAGCCAGACGGAGCCAGCTGGTCTCTCAGTGCATCCTCCAGAGATCAGTTCAGGGGGAAAGAAACAGATGGCTCACAAAAACAGCCTTTCTGGTTTTACCACCAGATTTCCTCCCATGTGCTTTTAGAAAGATTTTATTAAAAGTATACTAGGTGCCTGGGATGTTCATACTAAACTGTAATATTCCAGTTTGGGCTTCCTCATAAAAAGAAGGAAGTCGGAGGCCTAGGTTTTCTGCCAGGAAAACCTGTGTAGGATCCATGATGAGTTGCTTGTGGCCTTGAGTTTCACTTGATTTCGCGGTGGGTTGCTGCCTCCTCTCCAACACGACGTTGATCCGCAGGGGAAATTAAAATGCTGGGGAAATTAAGTGCAGTCTGGGTAGTATTGGGAACAGAAATCTGCGTGAGTCTAGTGTGCATTAGCCACATTATTCTTGGCTTAATTCAGCTCTACAAATATCTTGTTACATTTTTTTACGAGCCCATCTACTCTATATACGTGTTTGTTTGTATCGGATTTTATTATGTTGTTGTTCACTCTCGTGGAACCTGTGCCATCTCACATGGGTTCCTGGGCACGCGCAGGCCTGCCACAGAGAGATTTTGAAGCTCAAGAACTCTAGGTGGCATGCCTCCCCCCCTCCCACTATGGTGCTTTCCCAAAGCTCCCTTCCTTCCATTCTTTCTGTGCCACCATGAAGAGAGGTTTTGCCTTTTGAGGCTCTGTGTGAGGAATATTGTGGCCTTCCAGTCTCTTCTGCCTTTGGCGGACCACATTTGCTGCAAAAGTGAACTCAGGGCTACCTGAATTCAGAGTTACCTTCAAATAACGTGGCCCAGAAAGCTCTCTGTAATAAATGCACATCTTGTAGGGTGAAAATCCCCCATACAGGTGATGACAACTTGTGTCTCTTTTGCTTCAGTGAAAAGCGTGATGTCTCGAGGTGTGCAGGCAGTTAGCTCCTAAACTGAGATATGACAGAGCATCGTGTTTGAAAGTCGCTTTATGGGGAAAAGTTTTGTCCAGCTCTGCTTCCAATAATTGTCCGAGTATGTCACCAAGTCTGAATCCAGAGAGGCAGAGCCAGTCCTCTTCAGTTCCACAGATCCACAGATCCAGGACCAGTTTCAGAGCCCTCAGCGCTGAAATCCAATCTCCTCCTCCTCCTCCTCCTGTGCTGTTGCTTCATCTTCTGGAGTGCACTTGTCTCTAGGCATTTAGGATTAAATTGAAGAGCCAGGTTTACAGGCCAGAGCCTGGCTTCTTTCTCTTTAGGAATGCACCGTATGTTTTCCCCATATGGAGTGCCTTAACCATTCCCCATAGATTTGTGATTTTAAATTTGGATTAAAATTGCTTATCTTCCTAGGTCTTCATGATAGAGAAACACACTCTGGCCCTCTTATACAAACATTTCTTTACTCAGCAGCAGAGTCGCGTGCATCTTAGGCTTGGACCTGGCTATTCTAGCTTAACTCTTTCACCTCCTAACATTGTGGTTCCTTTAGGTCATGCATCAAGATGGGAAATCTGAACTGGTGGCCATCCCATAGGCAGGTTTCTGACTTTGTACTGTAAGGAATTTCCGTTTTCAAGAGAGCAGCTGCTCATAAGGCTGATTTCTTATACGTTCTCCTCTAGTGCCATGTACATAGCTTTAAACAAAATAATGTAATTTATTTCTCCCCCCCCCATTTATTTATAGGTAATAAAGGAAGTTTGCAACAACTGTGTTGGAGGTACAGATTCAGATGGACTGTCATCTAATTCTCCTATACACAAGACTGAACTAGAAAAGGTAACCCTTGTCCCATAAAAGACTAGTGAAAAATGCCTTGTGATTGTTTTGCATCAGTGCCCCGGTCACATGGAGATTTTGCTGCGCGAAAGGCACGAATGTTGAGCGGATTTTCGGGGCGCGATCACACCACAACATCTGGGAAGCGTAGAGCACCCGTGGCCAACCCGTGGCGCTCCGCCAAAGATGAGGAGTTAAAAAGTACCAAGGAAAGTGCACTAGTATCCGGAAAACACACGGCACAGGCGGGCATCTGATGGTGGGAGTGCTAGTATCCCGTGGCATCCACGTCCCATCGCAAACCGGATGTTTTTCATAAGCGCATGCGCACAAACACAAAACTGAAAGCAGTGCTCCTGCGCGGAACTGCATGCACACAAATGCAAAACGCTTGTGTGATCGCGCTGCGCTGCTTCTTTGCCACGCTGCAGCATTGCCGTGTGATCGCCAGCCAGCAGCCTAAGCATGGAGACTCGGGACTGTGTGATCGGGCTACCGCGCTTTATTTTGCTCCGGGGCGAGCAGCCACGCCTCCCCCCGTGTTATCTGGCCCGTGTGACCGGGGCCAATATTTATCTTTTTCTTCAACTGATAATTCAGTCAAATGTTCGATTTGGTTGGATTCCTCAGTTATCACTGTTTAGCTGACTATTTCTAGGTCATATGTTTGCTAATTTCAGTAAAGAAGGTAATTTCCTTTCAGAGACACATAGGAGAACTTTGCTATTGTCCGACTGACTGCTTAATTCATCTTGGCAGTGCATAGAGGGTTGAACGTGGACTTGAGGTTGTGTCCGTACTTTCAGCTTGGCACGGTAGAATGGTAGTTCTTGGTTTGTGATTTTATTTGAAAACTCGAATTACAGTTAGCCTGTAAATTTTGTTTCTTGGTGCACTGCCGCTAGAGAGCAGCCAGCCCTGACGTGGATGGCCCAGGCTGGCCTGATCTCATCAGATCTTGAAAACTTGGCAGGGTTGGCCCCAGTTAGTACTTGAATGGGACACCACCAAAGACGTCCAGGGTCACTACGCAGAGGCAGCCCGGCGGTGGGAAACGATGGCTTGTCTCATGCCTTGAAAACCCCATAAGTCAGCTGTGCAGAGGTCATTTCGTAGAAAAAGAGGTACTCATTAGCATAACTCATTAGCATAACTTATTTGCATATGTCACACCCCCTGACATCACTGGAAGTGTGTCAGAAGGCAACACCCACCGCTCAGGCTCCACTGGACTGTTTTGGATTGCTAGCTATTGGGGGGGGCATCATTCCTGCCCAAAAATAGCCCTGGTAATGGGGAATACTATGGTAGGAATTGTTTTGATTTTGGTCACCAGAGATGCATCTTCACACTTAAATATCTTTTCTAGCTCCTTCATGGCTGCCCTTCCCAGGCTCAATCTCCTTCTGATTTCTTGGTTGCAGTCTTCTTTTTGGTTGCTGATGGAGCCAAGGAACAGAAAATCTTGAACAATTCCAACCTTAAAGCTGTGTAATTTCCCAGTAGTCATTACTTTGTCATCTTGATGTTCAGCTGTAATTGTGCTTTGGCACTTTCTGCTTTACCTGAATATTTACTTAGAAGTAAATCCACTGATATATGCACAACAGTGCTTTTTCAGTGAGGTTGACACTAACAAGAAAGGCAACCATTTTACCACAAATTGAAATATATATATATTTCATTGGGAACATTTGGCTGTACAAGCTCAGGAGAATATATAGGTTGACCAGAGAGAAGTACTACTGGACATGTGATTGCACTGGAGGCTGTATTTGTATTTTTGTATTTCTCTTCTTTGCCCAGTGGTTAAACTTTGGAACAATTGTTTCCTGGTCTTTATCTCATATTTTGTATATGTATGGTTGTATATATTTTTACATATTAGCCAACATATTCTATTTGTATTAGACTTCTGAGGAAGGCCTGTGAAGCCTTTGTATTTGTATTTTTATATTTGTATATGAGGTTTGAATGGGCCCTTATTTGTTATTTTAATTTGTGTTTAATAAATACGTGTATATTTTTGTATGTTCCATGATCAGATTTTTAGAGTTGGGCCTCTTCCATTCCTGACTAACCTTTTTAGGTTCTGAATTCTAGGTTTTAGGTTCACTTCCCCCCCCCCTTTTTTGTCCTTACTGATATAGTGTAAGCCAGCTTCTTATGTGGACAGCAAGAATGTCTCTTGCCGTCTCTGAATGTCTCTTGGACTGGCACCAGGTCAGAGAAAGGCCCTAGATGTCTCTGTGAGAAGGATGAGGGCTTTCACCAAATTAAAACATATGCTTGTCAATGGCTGGAGTTCTTAATAGAAAGGTCTGGGACCTGTCGTTATCCTCTGGTGGCAATGTGGCCTCTAATGGAGTCTTCTAATTGTAAATAAAGGTAAAGGTTCCCCTGCTCCGAAAGCCAGTCGAATCCGACTCTAGGGTTGCGGTGCTCATCTCCGTTTCCAAGCCGAAGAGCCAGCGCTGTCCGAAGACGTCCTCGTGGTCATGTGGCCGGCATGACTAAACACCAAGGCGCACGGAACGCTGTTCCCTTTCCACCGAAGTGGTCCCTATTTATCTACTTGCCATTTCTTGCTTTCGAACTGCTAGGTTGGCAGGAGCTGGGGGAGGTCTGCAACTTACCTGGCTGCTTCTTGCTCTGACTTGAGGGCTGCTGGGAGCAGGGGGTGGGGCTTGTTGCATGTGCCCACCCCCTGGGCTCTTTACTGCCGGAGCTCCGCTCCTGTGTGCTCCTGCAGGAAATGACCCCTGCAGCTGTGACTTGCAAGCATATGTGTCATGTCATTTTTGAGTGGGTCACGTGAAAGCTTTTTGGAGCTGCATTTTGTGTGGATGCTAAAGAATCTCGACACTGTACCCACATATTCTGCCTCATTTGCTCTAACCTTCCTCCATGTTATTTCCCATAATTGTATGGCGAAATTGGGCAGTGCAAGTCGATAAATAGGCTTCAAAAGGCTTCAAAAGGGAATTAGATCTGCTGCTGCTGCTGCTGCTGCTGCTGCTGCTGCTGCTGCTGCTGCTGCTGCTGCTGCTGCTGCTGCTGCTGCTGCTGCTGCTGCTGCTGCTGCTGCTGCTGCTGCTGCTGCTGCTGCTGCTGCTGCTGCTGCTGCTGCTGCTGCTGCTGCTGCTGCTGCCAGTCCTCTTAGTTTTGGAATTGACCTTGTTTGAATGTATGTATGTCTGAAGATGCTGCTAAATGTCTGGTTCATTGCTTTATTTTGTCTAAGCTTGATTAGTTCCATGTCTTCTTCTTCTTCTTCTTTTTCTTCTTCTTCTTCTTCTTCGTCTTCCCCCAAAAACCCACTGCTATCTGGTCTTTATTCAGCGGCCCATCTCATCTCCTTTCCTATAAATATGACCAAGTTTCTCCCCCCCCCTTTTCACTGACTTCCTTATATTAATTTCATATTAATTTAAAAACCTTACTTTTTACTTTTAAATGCTTGCTACCACTGACTGTTTGGTGTAGTGGTTAAGAGCGGTGGACCCCAATCTGGAGAACTGGATTTGATTCCCCACTTGTCCTCCACATGAAGCCAGTTGGGTGACCTTGGGTCAGTCACAGTTCTCTCAGAGCTCTCTCAGCCCACCTACTCGCAGGGTGTCTGTTGTGGGGAGAGGAAGGTGATTGTAAGCCACCCTGAGACTCCTTCAGGTAGTGAAAAGTGAGGTATAGCATCCAACCTCCTCCTCCTCCTCAAGAGAAAGACCACACTGGTTGTCCTATACTTCTTATTTCCTTTCTTTTTGGCAGCATCTTATCTCTGGAATTTAGTCGCCCCTTCCATGCTATAGTTTAGCCCCTCCCAGTCATTAAGAAGCACTTCGGGACATTTGTGTTCACAACAGCTGCAACATTACAGTCCAGTCCTAAATAGAATTCTGTGCTTCTAAGTCCCATTGAACTCAGTGGGTTCAGAAGGGCGTAACTCAGTTTAGGGTTGCCTTTCTGTTCAGTCATCTATAATTGATTATGACATTTTAATGAAGTAAAATGGTGCCTGTTAATTAATTGGCTAGCAGATCTAATGTTTTTTAAAAAAAACTTAAGTTCTACATCTTAGAAGAGGTATTCTATTATCTCTGTCGTAGCACATACAAACAAAGAATGATTTTTTTTCTTCAGACCCCTATGCAGATACAGCTGATTAATCAAGTGAAACTTAAACAGCCGATCAACTAAAATTTATTTACTTTGCTTAATGAGATTGTTATTCTGTGGCCGGGCATCCAGTGGCCTGGATGCTCCAGAACACAAGTGTAAGGGCCAGGG